ATGATTCCTCTTAATTTAAACTCGATGATTCTGTGATCTGATAGGGAAGGTTCCGTTGATACCCTCCAATCTTTTACGTAACTAGTTACACTAGCACTCCCTATTGTTAAATCTAATACTTCCGCCCGCGTTTTTGTCACAAACGTGGGAGTGTTCCCCATATTGAGAACTTTAAGATTGAATGCTAAGAGGAATTCTAGTAAACACTCATCTCTAGTGTTAGTATTAGTGCTTCTCCATACCTCATTGTGCGTATTGGAGTCACATCCCAATAGCAGAGGTAGTCACAGTTGGCTGCAGAATCGCGCGTGCTCCACTACTTCCGGAGGCGGTGTCTGCCCATCACCCGGAAAGTATGCAGAGGCAATCACGATATTTTTGCTATAATCCTCGATATTTAGTTGAACCATGATTGGAACAAGATCTCGGGTTGTAAATTCTGAAACACATGTGTAGTTAATGTTGTTTCTTATAAGAATACAAGCTCGGGGAAGTTCCTGCTTGTTAGCATATATTACACTGGAATTTTTTCCAGACAACCCCTTAATTTGTCCCTGATATACCCAGGGTTCCTGGGCTAGTACCATTGCATGTTGGTTTTTCTCAAAGAGTCTTGTGATTGTGGCAGAAGACCCTTTTGCATGGTGCAAGTTTATCTGGGATATCCCATGCATCATGTTTCTATCGAACCAAACTAAACGGTAGCTTGTGTCGCTTGTTGGGTCTAGAGGTAGACTCCCGACCCTTACTAAAGGAGGTGATAGCTTGTGTACCACTTGTGGAGGCTAGCCTCGCGCAGGTGTCGGCCGCCTCTCCTGTAGTTCCCTTTGGGGTTGGTCCCTTGGAACTTTCATTCATAATGTTCCCAGTGTTACTAGGGGGTTTCCCCACAGCTTCACCGGTGGTGTTATTATGATTGTCCGATCTCATAGTGTTCCGACGAGTCGCTAGGGATATTCGGTCCACTTCTACAGTCCGGTCCGGCGGTCCGTACTTGGTCCGGGCGGTTAAGCCAAGATCCCCCCACACCCTCTACCCGCGAGACTTGACCACAATCAGTAGAGGGTGCCTGGTATGACGGACAGGGGTAGCCCCGTCCGGCATCGTTATATGTCTTGGTGCAATTCCCTGGCCACGACACTACAGCTAGGGACAAGACGATGAGTGAGATGCTTCTTAGACCAAGCCAGGTGCTAGGGGGATTCCCTCCAGCACCTGAAAAGGAGCTTCCCCACCAACGACAAGGTCTTGCATCTCCTAGGGGAAGATTGTTACATTTATCAATATAATTATTTAATATGATTATTATTTACCTATCGCGTGCTGCTATTTTACAGATACTCTCGTTTTTGGTATCATATACAAGATAGAAGATAGTATACAAACTTTATTTGTGGTTAACACAACACTCTGGCGAACTGTCTCTGGGCACCGAAAATTAACTGTAAACTATGGTCTGGGTCAGCACTTAATTTCCCCTTTGAGTTTTCCTCCACTTAATTTTAAAAAACACGAAATACACACACAGTCCAAAATGCAAAATATTTATCATTTCTATTTGACATAATTTGACACAAAATTATAACCTATAATTTGGCAAGAGTTTGACAACTCTCACAAATTTTAGGTCGAGCTCATACGTATCGGCATCCGTTTGTCGCTCATCGTTCCGTTAAACCAATTATATTGAAATATGATCTATCATTTTTGAAATAAACCAATAAAACTGGCTAAAAACAACAAGAGATGACGCATGACGGATTTATATATAAACCCATCCATAGTTAACTTAAAAATATTAGAAACTTTATTTAGTTAAATAAATGGATTAATATGGACGTCATCTGCTTTTTTTCTGTCATAGTCTGTCGAAATCTTACCTGGAAAACAACTTCCATTTAAAGCGGCCCATACATTATCAAACAAATTGCGCAACTAAGCGATGCGCAATGTTCCGTGGCACAACTGCATCACCCATGGACTTAGTAAAATTTTGATCAAACTTTTTATTAAAAGTTGTGCATTGTTTGAGAAACAATAATGTCTTCAACTGTCATTGTGTCAATTATTATCGTATATACCCTAGATGATGTCAATGATACCAAAAAACGAAAAAGAAAAAAAAAAGAATTTGGATGAAAAAACTAAAATATTGCACAACGAGGCTGCGCAAACGCCTGTTGCACAAAAGAACTCAAACACTCTTGAAATTTATCAAACAATTGTGCAACGCATCAAACGTTACCATACATTGGCAACTCGTTGCGCAGCAGTCTGCGTTGCGCAATTTATTTGATAATGTATGGACCGCTTAAGTTACAAATTTTTCTCTTTGTTATTTACTAGATATTTCTAAATAATCTAATTCTTTTAAATCAGCAATAGTTCATTAAAAAAACAAGAGTACGTAATTAAAAAAAATATAGGCGGCTCGTAAGTTCTGGAGATATATATTGACCATATATGATAAATATGTGAATTAAACATTGTTTATTGTAATACACCGTGTCTATTATTATTTTTGCGCTGGACGCGTTTTACTATTTATGTTAGCATCCTCAACAGATGATTAAAACATGGTTAGCGAAACGCACGTCCAATGCAAAAGTAAAGTGTTTTGGTGCATTGTGGTGAATTAGTGTTTTATTTTGCTGTTGGAACACCAAAGGTTTTAATCCCCTACTGTAATATATTCTAAATTTATTTTTAATAGTAAAATTCCCTTGACATAAAGTGGTGCAATTGAATTAGCTCGAAAAATAAAATTTATTTTGTTCCAGAAATACCAGAAATAGAGACTAATCTTTAAACCAAGGGTTTTTAACATTTCATTCTAATATCTGATATAACATAATCAATATATAAATGTATTGATCATCACCTCCCTTACCCTATTTACCTATCTCCCCTAAAGGAAACGGTCCAGCCGTTCCTAAAATATAGGTCGATTTTTTTAATCGAACAGATACACGCAACATCTGCCCCAAAACGCCTACCTGTTGAGATAAGCGGGATGCAACACCCGTTAGAGCGTTTCAGATTAGATGACCTACATCTATTATTACACATTGCATTATTTCTCAAGGCTTGTTTGACAGGATTCTCTCTGAGCACGGGCTTTCTTGAATAGTATACCGTATGAAACCTTTTGGAATATCTATATGAATATAGCAACTAGCACAGCCTCTTATATTACGGTGCAACGTTTAAATGGTTCAGCTGTTAATTCCGGTATTCTTATTTATAGACAAATTTTTTTCTTTGATTTTGAATTTGGATGCTAAAAAAACATTACAATCGAATTACTATAACGATAATTAATAATTATTAATGTATATAAAGTTAAATAGATAAAAAGCGTTCAAAATATAATTCAGCAAACTTCCCCAATTTTCATTAAACACAATTATTGTAAATCCCTTCCATTTAACTGCTAGAGCAACTAGTTTTAAACATGCGCTGTATAATATGTTACATTTTTAAATACAGGGTCCGGCAATAGTGCGTCGGGAACACTAATAACGGACTAGAATAATAACTTGGGAATTTTGTTTAAGTGCAAACCTGAAGTATGTATTAGGATGTACGAGTATATCAAAAAAATATTTTAAGTTCTACAGGTGGCTCAAAAAAGCGTGAGTGGATCGAAATGATGTTTAAATCGAACACCGAGTCGAACACCCTGTATATTATTGCATTTTTGGCTTCCTTTCAACACTTTACACAATCCTAAGATATGAGTAAATATATTTCGATAATTTCAAAGATACTAAATACCTATATATTTTTCAGCCTTTACTAAAAAAATTATTACAAATACAAGAACTATCCTGAAATCACAACTAATACTAGGTATTTGCTGAGGATGGTTTATACTAACTTTCCTATAAATATGGTAATCTTAAATCATATAGGGCCTTCAAAATTCTACACCAAACTTTCTAAAATATAATTTTTCTTTGTTTTTTTTAATGGAACACCCTGTATATTGTTTTTTTTTATTATTCAGAACATTTCAAAATTTTTAACGGTTCCGCAGATATCCGCAGTATTATTTCATATGGCTCTTTCAACAGTAATATATATATAAAGAAAATCTGGGATTTAGTGGGGTTGCAGTCGGAAGGGTTTGACAAAGAATTAATACACTTTGTTAATTGTCAAGCTTTCGGAATTTATTTATTCCTTCCTCAGGACACTAAAATGGAAATACAAGTTATACAATTGCTGTTATAAAAGTTAACAATAAGACTTACTTAACGTGGTACAGAAAATACCTTCATAAAAACTACATTAAACATGGTTTGTGTTGATAACTCCACCGTGAAAGCATCGCTGACCAGTCAACCACAAGGACTCTTATAAGGCGGTTAAGCCGCCAAATATAAGTTAGAACATTAGAATAATTAAGAGATGTTAGAAATTTTTAAATTAAAGAATTTTTGGTCTCAATCCGAAGCGTGGAGGCGCAAAACAATTGACAGGCGACAACCGCGACATCCAAACGTCAAAAGTCAATTGTCAGAAGTCAAGTTAGTAAAAGTGATCTATGGATGTCGAACAAGGCTGTGGCATGTCCATCATTGTATTCATGTAAAAAACCAATGGTGTGGGTGGTCATGTAGAAAAGTGGAGTGATCAAGGCACAACACTAAAAAAACACTAAAAAACATTAATAAAACACCCTTACTCGTGCAACGAGAGCAAAAAACAATTAGGTGGTAAAAATACAATTACATTTACAATTCAGAAAATGTCACCAAATATCTGCAACCAGAAAAACACCGAGCGCAATCAGAAAAAGAATTTTCTTATAAGCAATTGAATAAACATTAGGATGTACTAAAAATTTTGAAAAAAGACAAGAGGTGCAATGCAAACACTTAGAAAAGGCCAAATGTGAAGAAGGTAATGAGGAAAATATGACAATAATGTTCACATTAATCAATGTGAAAAACTGTCAAAAAATCATTAAATTGTACAATTTTTTTTTTCCCTCCCAATTTTTTAAATTCACAGGAAATTCATGAACCAAACCTTTTCATAGTATTGGCAATACTTCCAAAATTACAAAATTACATAAGGTGTAAAAAACTACAGAAACACACTCCGCAAAAAAGGGGGGAACAAACAAAATCAGCAAATTAAGACAGTTGAGTGACAAGGTAAAGACAATGTGCGGCTTGGACAATCCAAGAAAAGGCAATGCACCAAACTGACAGTGCACTCCACGCAAATTGCTTATTATTAAAAAACATTTAATCAAAGGTAAAACCACCGTTGGTTCTGAAGGAACCAAGGGAGGGTAAAAAAAGAGACAAAAAACAAGTGCACACAGGCACCTGTTATGGTAATATGCACTGGAAACGTATTAGTGCATACACCTTGAAACAGTCCGAGAGGGACTGGGAAGGGGCGATTAGCAAATTACATAGCATCTATAAAAGATATGGTCAAAATTCCGTTGCGTACATAAACAACGAAATGAGACAAAAAATCTCCGGGTGGAAACCACCGTCCCACCCACCACCTACACAACAATTCATCACCACGCGATGGGTGAGAATTGTATGAGTGCTCGAAAGTCGACACACTGTTAGTGTAAAAATTCTAATAATTCGAATTTTCTTTGACTTAAAGGTTTTTAGTGGTTAACCAAAAACCCCAAGACAATTAGTAAGGCAAATGATAGTGTGAGGGGAACAGCGAACCAACCAAGAGACAAGGCTAGCTATTGCAATGCCAAACTGTGGGTGCACGCACCACGCACAGTACCTCAAATCCTGCGATAGGCTGAGGGTTTCTAAACAATTTAAGAGGAGCCTGAGCACTGATGGTGCAAAGCTCCCAAAAAAACAATTTATGGGAAAGTTTCCCGACAAGCATGACAAGAACCAAAGACGCAAGGGTCAGATCCCAAATGTGGAGAACATAAGAGATTAAAAACACAGGGAAAAACCGCAAAAGCGGAAAAATATTACATCAATAAAATTGTCAGAGTATTAAGAACATATTAGAAATTTAAAGGTATTAACATTGATATATCAAACAATGAAAAATTAACAAATACTGAAGAAAATTCTTATGCATACAATGAAGTGTGTACACAATGGAATCATTTAGTTAGAATTTAAATTAATTGTTAAGTAGTTAGGATAAAATGTAGGGAAAACAATGAAAGTGGAGGCTATAAGGTTGAATCTGAGCTTATTATATTATTGTTGTTATTTAATTTTAATATGTAAGAATAAATTGAACTCAAATCATCTATGTCTGTCATTCGGTTTAAAGTACGCGGACATTCATTTATAGCCACCATCTCCAAAAACTTCCTCCTAAAAGTGTTCTTCTCCACATACAAGATCTCACAATCGTCATAGGCTACTCTATGATCTTCATCAATAACATGTTCCGCCAGCGAGCATGACCTAATGGACCTCCTACAATCACTTTTGTGAGAAGTAATTCTACCCTTGAGGGACCTAGAAGTTTGGCCAACATAGAACGAATCACAGTCCGAGCATCTGAGTCTGTATACAACATTGATTTTTTGGTTTTTTTTCCAATGGTGTTTTTATTCTTGTATACAGGGTCTTCAGCTGGCCAGTGAGGCGTAGCGCAAACTTGATGTTTTCACCCTTAAAAACTTGAATCAATTTGGGAGTCAAGTCTTTTATGAATGGAAGACAACTAAAAATAATGTTAACCTCTTCGCGAGGAGGGGTACTTAACTCCTGATCCAGAGCGGGTATGGTGGTCGACCTATGATTTAAAATCTGATTTTTATTATATAAAATTTTCAAAAAATAAAATTTACAAAAAATCTCCGGGTGGAAACCACCGTCCCACTCACCACCTACACAACAACTCATCACCACGCGATGGGTGAGAATTGTATGAGTGCTCGAAAGTCGACACACTGTTAGTGTAAAAATTCTAATAATTCGAATTTTCTTTGACTTAAAGGTTTTTAGTGGTTAACCAAAAACCCCCAAGACAATTAGTAAGGCAAGTGATAGTGTGAGGGGAACAGCGAACCAACCAAGAGACAAGGCTAGCTTTGCAATGCCAAACTGTGGGTGCACGCACCACGCACAGTACCTGAAATCCTGCGATAGGCTGAGGGTTTCTAAACAATTTAAGAGGAGCCTTTTTGAACGAATTTAAGAGGAGCGAACCAATTTGGGAGTCAAGTCTTTTATGAATGGAAGACAACTAAAAATAATGTTAACCTCTTCGCGAGGAGTGGTACTTAACTCTTGATCCAGAGCGGGTATGGTGGTCGACCTATGATTTAAAATCTGATTTTTATTATATAAAATTTTATTAATTATAGAGGGGGGATATGAATTGTTCACAAGAATGGACCGTGTAGTGGACCGTGTTTATTTGATAATGTATGGACCGCTTAAGTTACAAATTTTTCTCTTTGTTATTTACTAGATATTTCTAAATAATCTAATTCTTTTAAATCAGCAATAGTTCATTAAAAAAACAAGAGTACGTAATTAAAAAAAATATAGGCGGCTCGTAAGTTCTGGAGATATATATTGACCATATATGATAAATATGTGAAATTAAACACTAATTTACCGCAATACACCAAAACACATTACTTTTGCGCTGGACGCGCGTTTTACTATTTATGTTAGCATCCTCAACAGATGATTAAAACATGGTTAGCGAAACGCACGTCCAATGCAAAAGTAAAGTGTTTTGGTGCATTGTGGTGAATTAGTGTTTTATTTTGCTGTTGGAACACCAAAGGTTTTAATCCCCTACTGTAATATATTCTAAATTTATTTTTAATAGTAAAATTGGAAATGGTAGTAAAAAATGGACCATGTGTTTCATTCGTGTAGGGTGGTCTGAATGGTAGTTAATGTATCTACCACTACTGGTAGGTTTTCTATATCATTTCGTGACTATTTTATTGTCAGGTCTCCTAATAAGCCTCATGTCAAGGAAAGGAATTGAATTATCAACCTCCCTTTCAATAGTGAATTTAAGACTGTCACTAAGATCGTTAAAAACGTCTAGAATGTGATCAGTCATGTCCATAGGAACCGACAATATAAGGTCGTCAACATACCTCTTAATAAACGGAATGTTATATGGGACCCGCTCAATGCCCTGGGCGAGGAGCCCGTCCAGAACATAGCTCGAAATTATGGGGGAAATGCTAGCTCCCATGGGTGTGCCATAAATTTGCTTATAAAATTTGTCATTAAAGACAAAGACTGTAGAATCAAAAACAAAATTTAAAATTTGTGTGAAAGAAGCCAAATCAAATGGTGTGTGGGGGGATATAGTATCCCATTTATCTTTTATGGTCTTCTGGGCTAGATCAAGAGGTAAGTTAGTAAAGAGCGAAACAACATCGAGGCTAACAAGAACGTAGTTCTGAGGCAATTGAAATTCATTAATAAATTCACAAAAAACAAACGAATCGTCAATGTAAAAAGGGTTAGATTTGTTGTATGCTTTAGTGAGTACAGTGGTGAGATATTTTTCTAATTTACTATTGAATGAATTGATTGAGGAGATAATTGGTCTAAGTGCAAGGGCAGGCTTGTGAATCTTAGGAAGTCCATAATATCTAGCTGCCGTAGAATTATAGGTTTTTAGACTTTTGGCCAATTCTTTATCAATAATTTCCAAGTTACTGAAATTCGAAATTAATTTGTTTGCTTTCACTTCCAGAGTGCTGGTGGGATCGCGTGGGAGTGGTTTGTAATACTTAGTATCATTGAGTAAACCATAGCTAAGGTTTAGGTAATCAGCCCTGTCCATGACAACAGTGACGTTACCCTTATCACTAAGGGTCACGATAAGTTCAGGGTGTTCAACTAAAAATTGTTTTGTTTCTTTTATTTGTTTACTTAAAATGTGTGTTTTTCTGCTGTCACCATGGAGAAAGTTGACTATTACATTTGTAAACCTGCCACGTACAATATCTTTCTTATTTTTATCAAAACCAGAAACTGCTAACTCCAGATCACTGAGCAATTCAGGAATTTTAATTGTATTTGCATTAGGAGAAATATTAAATTTTGGACCAAGAGCCAGCACCTTCACCACATTGTCAGGTATGACAGTGCTAGAAATATTCCTTAACCACTCGTCCCGCACCCTGATATCACTCTGAACCTTAGAAATGAGAACCCCATATTTATTAACGTTAATTGACTTTACCCTATTAAATTCAACCTGGAAAGTATGCTTTAATCTATTGTTGAACTCATTAACAATCTCACGAGGCAAAATATTAGTAATGTTGTTATAAATGGCGTCTATGCGTTTCTGGTAAAGATTCAAATCAGAAATGGTGATCTTAATTTCTAAATTTAAAATTTTCCTTCTCACCTTAATATCAAAAAGGGAGATATCACTACCAAGACGTCCTCCGTGGTGATCTAGTAGATTCCGGATGCTGCCAATGCTGTGGGTGATGTGGTTTGGGAAGACGCTGTTCTTCCGGCATTTCAGCAAAAAAATTCGTCTGTTCTTCAAAGAAGCCATCTTGTAGGTCAGGTTACTCCATTGTTTAAGTAGTTTCATAGCATGATTCCCATAATCTCGCTGGATGTTTTGGTAGAACCCCATGCCTGTAATAAGCAGAAAGTAGTCTCGACTGACTAGTGAGAAAGAAAATCTGGGATTTAGTGGGGTTGCAGTCGGAAGGTTTTGACAAAGAATTAATACACTTTGTTAATTGTCAAGCTTTCGGAATTTATTTATTCCTTCCTCAGGACACTAAAATGGAAATACAAGTTATACAATTGCTGTTATAAAAGTTAAGAATAAGACTTACGTGCGTTAAAAACTTGCCTTAAATAATTTGCTGTTGGTAATGAAAATTTGACTGAAAATACCAAGTGTGTGGTATCAAATTATTCGTAAAAAAATGCGTTTTCCAAACCAAACCAAGCCACCCTTGTTCCATTTGAAAAAATTGAGATATGATTAAAAATGCAATTTGGACATTTTCTAACTGGCCAGGATAAGACACTAAAAACATTAGAGAATCAAATCTATTTTTCCAAGGCTCCTTGATCAAGAATTAGGGTTTTTAACATAGCCATTGCACTCTAGATTGAAATTTAAAATACTATTTTTTATTAAGCGAGAATGTCAAAAGTTGACATATGATATGTCATTCTATTTAGAATGTCATTTTCTATCGAATAAAGTAAAAAATATCGAGGGTGCCATTTAAAAATCAAAAGTTGTAGTAATTTCCGTTGAAACAAGAAGTGACCAAAAACAATTGAATACGTCAATCAATCCTAATATATGTCATATACTCTCTTCTTCTTAGCACGCCGTCTCCCTTCGGAGGTTGGCGATCCAATTGGCAATTGTGACTCGGGAGATGGCATCCCTGAAAATTTGGACTGATGTTCGATCAAGCCATCGACGCAGGTCTTTAAGCCAGGAGTTCTGTCTTCTTCCGACTGACCTCTTTCCTTCGATTTTCCCCTCAATAATAAGACGTAGCATTTCGTATTTATCTCCTCTCATGATATGCCCAATATATAGGATTTTTCTTTCCTTGATAGTCGTAAGGAGTTCTTTGCCCTTCTGCATAGCTCTGAGTACTTCAGTGTTGGTTTTTCTATCCACCCAGGATATTCGTAGTATTCTCCTGTACAAATACATCTCAAAAGCCTCGATGCGGGCTTCTATGAGCGGACTGAGAGTCCAGCTCTCACAGCCATAGAGGAGAATTGGGAATATATAACATCGAAGTATTCGCAGTCGGAGTTGTAGGTCGAGGTCCCGCCTGATGAAAAGGTTCCTCATACTGAAAAAAGCACTCCTAGCTTGTTCAATCCGTGACAGGATCTCCTTTTTCGGATCACACCCTTCATTTACCAGTGCACCCAGATATCTAAAGGATGACACTTGTTCAATCATGTTATTGTTTATTTGAAGAGTGGTGTTTTTGAGTAAACCATAAGTTTCGTCTTTGCACTGTTCATAAGCAACCCATAACGTGCGCTATGTTCCACGACACTGTCCAATAACTGTTGGAGTTCAGGTAAGCTGCTAGCAATGATGACAGTATCGTCGGCGTATCTGATGTTATTAATTATGGTTCCATTGATTTTGACTCCACCGTGCTAATCTTTAAGGGCTTCCGTGAAGATCACCTCCGAATATAAATTGAAGAGCAGGGGTATATGCAACCCTGTCGGACGCCTTTCCCTATAACCATTTCTTCCGACAGGCGGTCCTCCACCCTTACTTGGGCCGTTTGATGCAATTAGAGCTCGGTTACAATTCTCAGATCCCCCTCGTCCACACCCGTGGCTCTCAGGATCTCAGCCATTTTCTGGTGTTGCACGCAGTCAAAAGCCTTACGGAAGTCTATGAAGCAGGCATATATATTTATGTTCATGTCCCGTGCCCTCTGTGTAAGTATGTTAAGCGAAACCAGTGCTTCACGGGTCCCCACGCCATTCCTGAAGCCAAACTGTGTGATCTATCTGCTGTTCGCATTTCCTGTATATACGCGTGTGTATGATTCGTAGAAAAATCTTTAGCACATGAGACATTAAGCTTATCATTCGATAGTCGTCACACCGGGATGCGTGGGCCTTCTTAGGCAGGGTAACAAAAGTTGACTTGAGCCAATCTGATGGTATTTTTGGGATTTGGCCTATTATCACGAAAGAGGTTTTCCACATAATCCTTCCAGTGTTTCAGCTTTCCCTCAGGGCCCACGAGGATTTGATTTTGGGTGTCGCGCAGTAGTCCGCTGTGCCTTTTTTGATGTTTGTTAAATACCTAAGAAACGTGAAACAAGTGGATGATGAAACAATAATATGCTGTGATAAGATACGGATAAATGATAGCGATAACAAAACACTTGAAAATGACAGTTCAAGATATCAAGTTGGTTCACGAGATTTTAACAAGTTGCTCGGAAGTACAGAAGAAATTCAGACTCAGCATAGTCCATTTCACTATTTGCATCAGATTATAGATAAAAAAGATAATTACATAAAGTATTTAATGGAAAATATTAATTTCCTCCAAGAACAAGTAAGAACACTTAACAGCGTGCTACTCCAGATCAGCTCATTCGATGGAAACGATCACACCGCCCAGCGAGTGTCATTAAACCTACTGCCGACACCTGGCGAATTTGTGAATAATGATTCTATCGATCGAGCGTTGAGTAAAGATAGTGCTGCCTCTGCGGATACAGTTTCGAAGCGTTCTAAACAACAGCAGGAACCCAGTCCATCTATTAGTGAAATTAAAAACCGTCAAATAAACAAACAAAACTGCGATCTACCAGGGATAATCCGAACACGCGCCGAAATGGACAAATTCATGACAGGACGCAGTCCAATCTGGTTTCTACTGCTAAATCAAAACAAACAACAATATCAACACAATCTAGACAATTAAACTGCGATGGAAACACTAAACAGGAAAACAGGATACAAAACAACATACAAAGGAATAATAAGATAATAGGATGTGCGGTAAATTGTGACGGAATTAGTGCAATACCAAATAAACAATTTTTATTCGTGTCTAAATTAGATCCAAATGTAAAAGAAGACCAACTCAAGCAACTATTAAAAACTCACTTCCCAGAAGTAGAATGTCAGAAATTGGAATCAAGAAATACCAACTTTTTCTCATCTTTCAAGGTAATTATTGATGAAACAAATTACGATAAGGCATGGGATCCAGAGATATGGCCTAAAGATGCTCAAGTTTCGCCGTTTTTTCGGAAGAGAACTAATAAATATTTTGCAAAACAACAAAGAAGATATTAATTATGACAATACTACCAGTTCTGTCGGTGTTTACGTATCTAAAGTGCAATATCAGAATGATTCAAATGATACTTTGAGAACTATTACATTAATGTATCAAAACCTTAGATCACTTAAGAATAAACTGCATGAAATTCAGGCGTATATATGTGACAAAAAACTTGATATATTGTGTGTCTCTGAGCATTGGTTAGACGGTAGTGAGTCAGCCAACTTAAAATATCTGGACTTGTTGTGGATTCAATTTTTTGTAGGAGGAGTCAGAGGAGGTGGGGTAACCACCCTTCTTGACTCTACTATTGAACATAATAATATTACTAAAATCTCGAAATTTTCAATAGAAAAAATCATAGAACTTTGCTGTGCTTACATAAAGAGTCTCAATATTTATATATTCTGCGTTTACAGATCTCCTGGAGAAAGTATAGAGGTATTTGTGACTCAACTTGGCAGAGCCATTGACAGTGTGGGACATCGCAGAAAAATCATTATTGTAGGCGATTTTAATGTACTCTTTGGTACAAAACAAAGCGAGTCAGTGTTGGTAAATGGCATGCTGAAATCATATGGATTTCGTGCATTGGTGAGTGCTGGTACGCGCGGCGGAAACTGTATAGATAACCTATTTATTAACTTCGATGTTCTTTTTACCGATATCAAAATAATCGACAATGATCTGTCTGATCACAACTTAATAGAGCTTCGGTTTGGAATAGATAGCGATACAAATAACAAGACACTGATGAGGAAATATAGACCTATCACTGAAAGAGGTAAGCATCTTTTTTTACTTTAGTTGTACTGGTCTTTTATATCTAAAAACAACATAAATGTCAGTACTAAATGCAAACTTTTTTGTGATAAGATTCAAGAAGCTTTTGATGCTTCTTTTCCAGAAAAAATATATAAAAATAAACAATATCAGACTCTGTTTCCTTGGTTTAATGACACACTGCGGGAAATGCGAGAACGTCTGTGTTTTCTTAATGATCTTTTTAAACAATACCCATCCCAAGAACTGCTTGACAATAAAAACTGCTTTAAAAAACAGTATAGAAGGGCAATTAAAGTCGCGAAAAGGGAATATAATGTTAGACTTATTTCTAACTCAACAAATAAGTCAAAAAGTATTTGGAAAATCTTGAATAACAACCGTGCAAACAAGCAGAAACAAAATCCCTCAATGACAATTGGTCCCGATGCATTTAATGATTTTTTCTCTAGTGTGGCGGATGTCTTGGTCGGAAATGGACAGTGATCTACGCAAGATATTCCATTTCGGATTACTCATCTGCTGGATGAGGAATTCAAGTTCGGAGATGTGGGTTTTAATGAGGTCAGGGACGTAATACTTACTTAAAAAATAAAGATTCGCGTGACAAATTTGGGTTCAGTGTTAGGATTATAAAGATGATAAGGGAACTTATCCTTATACCGCTAACAAAAATTATTAATTTGTGCTTTAGGGAATGCATTTTTCCATGTTGTCTCAAGGAGGTTGTTGTTGTACCAGTATTCAAAAAGGGGGACACGAATGATATATCTAATTATCGTCCGATTTCACTGCTTCCTGTTTTTTCAAAAATCATTGAGAAATGTATGGCCTCAAGAATGGCGTTATTCCTTGAAGAGTATTTATTGCTGAACGACCAACAGTTCGGCTTCAGGTCCGGACGCAGCACTGTGCTGGCTGTTCTGGACCTCGTGTCATTCATCTTGGATGGCTTTGAGGGTAGGGAACATGTTGGCGCGGTATTTTGCGATTTAAGTAAAGCCTTCGATTGTGTGTCTCACGAGTTGCTCATT